ACAGCTACCTCTAGAGGATGCACACAGCTAAAATATCATTCTCTTCCATTGTGGCATACATTATAAATATTCATAGAAGCATTACATATTGGTATGTATTACGGTAAAGTCATCTAATGCAGACAGAACAGACTTGCTAACAAACTCTTAGTAATCAAATTATTTTTTTTTATTTATGGTCCATTCTTAAATAATCACAGAAGTGTTCCAAAGCTGTTGAACTCTGTTTTTTCGAAGGAAATTTTAACAACTTCAAATACATTTTTAAAAGAGACTAAGAAGAGAACTCTCACGAAATGTTTCATATATACTAACATCTATTAATAAATGCAAATACATGCTTTTCTGGTTACAGAATTTCAGTTCTCTAACAAAGTACCAAACCTCTCCAGTGGCAGAAACACTTTAGGATATGCTTTCTAACACTGTTACTAATTGGGGTGCGGGGGTGTGTGTGTGCACATGTGCGCTATAAACACAACAGAACAGTGTTAGAATCCAAGTTAACTTTTAACTGGGATTTAAGCTAGGTTGATTTTTATTGAGAATATGTTATTGTCTACAAGTCAACTATTTAGCTTCTTAAAATGGCTTGACAAGAGGGGATTCAACAGAGAACAAAGAGGAAGAAAGACTTTATGAAGTGAGATCAGAGTAGTCAAAATAGCTTTTCCAAGAAAGAGGTATGGAAAATTAAATACACAGAGGAAAAAAGCATGTCAGGAACTTCCCAGCTCCCTTCTTATTCTAAGAATATGAAGACACTCCATGAAATCAAATTAACTTTCTCCATACAACACATAATTAAAATCAGGAAGCTCCCTGTTGAAGTACACTCCTCCTTAAAAGCTGAGAATTCAGCAAGCTGAAAAAAAACATTCAAGAAAGTTTCCTGTTATAGTTAAACATAAACCTCTGGGAGTTAAAACAAAGCTTGTCTTAAATAACTGTGGATATACCCCTCTCCATTCCCACCTCCCTCAAGATTCAAGTACATTCATGGAAATAAAAACATTAGAACTACTTGATGTAAAGATACAGCAATCTATTCTTCAGGAATTTCCTAGACCAAAGTTTTTAAATTAAAAAAAAAAAAAAAAAGAGGGCGAGGGAAGAACAAATAGATGCTTGTTCAGATCTTCTACTCTTTAGTTATCCTCTTTTTGTCAATAGGGTACAAGGCTAGATGGACATTTCCTACAATCAAGACTAGACAGAGGTTTGTACCTTCAAGGCACAAGTTCCTCTGAAGTTGAAGTTCAACCCCCAATTATTGAATATTAACACAAGAAACACTCCACTTCACTGGCCTGCTGTAAAAGTGCTCATACCTTGCACTGAAAAGTTCATAGTGATTAATCATGGGATACCAAAAGTAGGCCAATGACATCAGTATCTTTCCCATGTTTAATTTTAACCCAAATGACTAATGTCATCCATTTAACAAGAGAGCAAAAAGTGGCGTTACTATCACATTTTGACAGTTTACTGTAAGGACATTTTAATATGACCAATACATTTGCTATTTTCACATTAGGCAACATCCTCGCATTAAATATGATCTATTGATGAGGCGTTCAGTTTTCAAGCATCCATCTTTTACCAATGCTGATACACAGAGCTCCTCAAGCAATGATAAAAACAATGAAATTTTACAAAATGTTCAAATTTAAATTTATAAAAATGTGTAAATATTCATCCAATAAACTACTTTTTTTTAATCCTATGTTATAATTTAAGATGCTGCAGTGGTTTTCCTGTCAAATATCCTTTTTAAAAATTATTTTTGCCATATTTTCTGAGCCTTCGCACTGTTATGCTTGTCATTTGAAACCTAGTTCTCTGACGTACTTTTCTCTCAATATTTGTAGAATAGAATCATTTAGGTTGGAAAGGATCTTTGAGATCATCGAGTCCAACTGTAAACCTAGCATGGTCAAGTCCACCACTAAACCTCGTCCCTAAGCACCACATCTATACACCTTTTAAATGCCTCTTGTTTAGTTGTAAACAAGAGCAAACAAACCCGATAGGACTGTCGAAGGTTAGAGTTTTTGTTTTGGATTTCCCAGCATTTGCTTTTAAAATTGTTGAGGAGAGGTCCACCTGTAAAAGTGGTAAGGGATGTCTATTGCATACTTTTTCACATGTTTTCCCATGCCTTTACAATTTTGCCAACACAATGTGCTGTTGCTACATCTCTTCTGCAGCACAAAACAGCTTCCCACAAAAACTGGAGAGCTCTGCTTGGACTGTGGAGCCAACTGAACCAATGCCTACCCAGGTATCTGTAAGACTGAGCAAAATCACAAAATTAACTTTCGTATTCAACAGCTATTCTTAGCTCTTGCTTATGTTTCAAATTCTTCCTCAGTTTTTACATGTATTGCTGTGCCCCAGTAATATATTCTTCATTTTAGGATGTTTCCTATTTAAGAAGGTGTGGTCAACCCAGCATCAATGTTCTGGTGACCCATCAAACCACTTCTTAAATCCAAGTCAAAAGTTCAAAAGTTTAGTTTGTTCCCGCTACTCAATAAGAGATATCAAGTTCACTACCTTATTTGTGGACTAGCTGACAAAATGTTTTGATTTCACCCAACATACCAATCTAAACTAGCTTTCTGAAACAACAAATCCCCGGCCAACACTCTGCTAGGTTATGAAAAACAGTAGCAAAGCTGTTATGGAGTATTGCACAGGCTTCCAAAGCAAAAGAATTATTTTTTTTTTTTTAATAAGGATTTGGTCACAAAAGTGGTTTTAGTTCAGTTGTACTAATCTATGCTTCAACAAATATCTGAGGAAGTACTCTTGCACTAGAGCTGTGAAACGATGAGTAGTTTTATTGTTGGGCAAAGCCTGAAGACAGTAAAGCCTCACTTGAATTTAAAAGGGCAAGACATCACAGACTGTTAAATTTACATCAGCATAGACAATGCCGCCAAAAATGAATTGTAAGTGTAAGAACAACAAATGCAGAAGCTACCAATTCTACATTTAGGCTTACCAGGTGAGGTTTCCCAATAAATTTCCTGAAAGGTGGCTTAATGAACCTCATAGGCTTTTGGAAGCCATCAAGTTGAGAATTTTCTAATTTTGAAAGACTGCAATTTTGCTGGTTCCTAATATGTATGAGACAGAGAGAGAGAACACAATTAAAATCTAAAGCCATAGCATATCAAAACCCTGTATTTTAAATGACCTTAGTCTAGCATCCGTATCACGCAAAAGTCCAAAATGACTGGTTTTAAGTTTTTTTTTTTTCCTAGAATGTGCGACAAATTACTAGTCCTCTGATTAAACTCAAGCCCAAGTTGCAGAAAATTATATAGCAAGCTGTATTCTCTTATCCAATGACAAATTAACAGGAGTACTCCGCCTCCTTGAAATCCTGGCTGCGACAACCAGGTTTCCCTGGCTCACCCACTAGGCCTGCATGGCTGGTCATTGCTGCCCTCCGCTGGTTGAAATGATTTCTGCATTTCAGCAGTTTTACACTGTACTACGTTTAAAGCTGTGCAGAACTTCCCATTTCATGAAATCCCAAATCCGACAGAAGCTCAGACAAATAGCTAGATATTCCAGTTTCATCTTCAGCAAGCAGAGTGCTCTGGCTTTAGGCTTTTGCTCGCTTTTTTTTTTTTTAACTGAGCACATTGCTAATGCAGATGTGTTCATAAACCTCTAAATAAAACATACACTATGAAAAGTAACCACTAGAATTCAAAATTCCTAGTTAACATAAAGAAACAGTTGTCATAGCTGCAAAATAAATTACTAAGTCAAAAACAGAGGCACATTGGACTAGCTCATAAGCACTGCCAATATCTTATATGCAAACTATGAAAAACTCCTGATCTCAGGAAAATTCTACCCATTGTTCATACCATTACTGCCCTCAGCCCACATTACACTGTCCATATTACTCTGACCGTGTAACCTCTCCTCACATCGAACTTCAGGACAGCCACATTTACTAGAGAAACTTGAGCTTCCCCCTTTGAGTGGCATACATAAAAGGTAAGCAAGACAGTAACTGCAGAAATGGCCAAAAAAAAAAGCGTTCCCAGATAATCAGGTCAAAAATACACTAGACACATAGCCCCAGATACATAAAAGGCTATATGCAACAGTCCATATTCCGCCCCCCCTCCACCCCCACCTAGTAACTTTTACTTTTTTGTTTAAAAAATCTCAAATACAAGAAATATTTCTTCTGCAGCTTCACAAGTCAGTTTTCCCAAGTATGTGTATATTGCCACTATTTGCCATTACAGACTGCATTCAAAATGAACAAACTGCAACATATTAAGAGCGAGCTGCAAGTCACGACTACAGTATAGATGCATTTCATTACATTCTGGCAATTTTTTAATCAACGTTTCTTCTAACACAAATAACTCAAGATACCCTTCTAATCTACCAGCCTCACAACATCAGAACTGAAACAGGATGACTGAGGTTAGCAAACACCTCTGGGGCAAACAGCTTTAACAAACCTGTTAGACAAATTCACAGCAGTAAAAAGCTATTCCAGACATCTAGCTTTTTTTCATAAAATTCTCCAAGAATCAGAAAAATTTCATTTCTTTGTTGATATTCCACTTGACATTACAAAACAACCAGAACAGCATAACAATTCATCCAAGAATGCTTTTATGAAACTAAAATATTGAGAGAATGTTGTTACATGGCACATCAAGGAGTTTAAAAATAGCTAAGCATCTTTAAATTCATTTCTTGCTCTCTTCCCATTTAGTGCTACAGTTTAAGCTTGCTTTTAATTTTTTTCCCACTCCAGCTTAACCTCTTTCAAGGTAACATTCCATTACAAAGTAGTTTGCAATGTACGTCAGTTGAATTTCAGTCCAAGTCAAACTTACAAGGACAAACTATGGAAAAGAATCACAATGAATGTGAATGTAACTGTGGAAGAGTCAAAAAATGAACGCATCAGAGAACTACAGGCTTGGGCCAAAAAGATTGTTGTTTGCGAATTACCTTGGAGTTACACCATCTACATGAAACACTCTCTCATCTTCACTCTTCAGTCTCTCTTTTCTTCTCCTTTCTATATCATGCCGTAGATCATTTGGATCTTCTAACACTCTCATAATGTTCTAGTTAAGAGGAAGCGTTAAAGTCAAGTTAGCTAATAATAACTAAACACTGATGTAATTCTATCCTTCAAGAGTTGCGTCTGGTACATAATCTTGTTAACTAGTTCAACTGTCTGGACATAGGGCAGATGCACATCAGCCTGCGGATCCAAAGTCCAAAACAGTAACAAAAAGTAGTCCCAAACAATTACCCTTTCTTGTACCATCTGCCTTTTTACAAGTGTCCAAACAACAGTGAACAGAGCACTGGAATTCTGCACGGAATTGCCAAGGCAAATATATTCACATAAATTCCAGTAAATCTTAATGAAGAGTAGTAGAACTTCTTAAGTTGATTCTTCACATACCTGTACTATAGAAAAATATAGTAACTACATCACAGTAAACGTAGCTTGAAAGGGGAAGACAGAAAATATTTTGTCCCTGGATGAAAGCATGGGATAAAATAGCATTCTGAGGAATTATGTGGCTGTCTGGCCATTCTAACATTAGGATAGAAGAAACATTAAGGCTTTCTCTAATTTCAGAGGGAAAGTGAGAGCCACATGTCAGTCACCTACTTTGTATTTACACTATTTAAAAAACATT